CCATCATGGGTGGGTTGGTGCCTGCCTACGCAAGCCACGGATCAATGTGAAACTAAACTGATCCGTTATTCATCTCCTGCTTGCTCCATGAAAAAGACCGTAGGTGTAGCTCAGCTGCTGAGAAAGAAGAGGAGGAGCGTTTTCTTCAAGTTAACTCTTAATCAGCTTAATCAGAAATATTTCAGCGTAATTAATTTAAAATAAGTGTGGGTGAAGAGTTGCTGGCTCAGACCGAGTTTCAGCTTCAAGTGAATAAACACACGCGCAGGCCTGAGCTGCTAGACCCAGGAAATGCTGCAATATGCAGCGTGCTTTCCCGTGTTCCCGGTGGCTGCAGGTCATGTTGGGGTCTCCATTTCAGTTGGAATGAGGTCACCCAACAAGACGAAAAGCAAACCCATTCCACGTGTTTGTCCTCTTCTTCGCTTCATAAACATCGTTGGGAAGAAAGGGGAACACTGCTGCACCTTTGTCACGGCTGTGCTGCATTAGCAAAAAGGCGCGCAGGCGCTGCGGCGTGGCTACAAAGGGCAGCTGCGAAGGTGCAGCCTCTGTGTGCCGCACAAAGGCCGAGTGCTCACAGGCTGAGGGGGTCTTAGGTTTCACTGGGCCCATCTTGAACCATTTTTCTGCATGTAGGATTAAACCGTGTTTTGAGTACGTGTTAACACCATCTTTCTGTTCCAGTCTGTTTCCTATAGAGACTCCTGTTGGTCACGTGCACTTTGGCTCCTCTGCTGAAGTACAAATAAGGAGCTATAACAGCACTGTGTCACTACTCTGGTTAGCATTTAGCTAATAAGTGTCCAAATCCTGAGAACCGCACTACATGTGCAGCAGGTGTGCTTTTTTCCTTTGACCCTGTGGCTGGGTTTTCTGCCAAGAAGAAGAAAAACATGGGAGTGGTGGCGCTCACAAAACTTTTGAGGACAAGACGAGACTTGACCTCAGTGCTACTATACTTTTTGTGTGCAGCTATGCCACAGAGGTGTGGTCTGCTGCCGTGGACGCGCGTTATCACAGGGCTAAAACCTTACACGCAGATTCCTTCCACCGAGAGGGAAGAACTATTGTCTGGACTGGCTCACTGTTACGCCGCTGTTTTTAACTACAAAAGCTGAACTGAATCACTTTCACTGGTCCATCTTGTCCATAATAAAAGACCATCTGGGAGGCAGTTTATAATGGTTTCTTCTTGGCCCTGAGCTCTTCACTGAATAACTCTTAAAAATATAAATATAGTTAAAGACTGAAAGGTGTCATTCATTGATGTGGTCACGCAGCAGCCCTTTGGATTTCATAAGGATGAGCTGATTCAACACCAACACAGTTCAAATATGGCAAATCATGTAGATGCAGCAATGATCTAGCCGACTGTTATTATTCCCGTACCACCACTCGGATAAAACACCTCCAGTTCAGCTAGTCTGGCACGCTTCAAGCCCCAGTTTGAACGGTTACGGGCTGTGAGGAAATCATAATTGACACAAAAACCACCAACGCGCTGACCAGACCAAGTCTTATTGTGGGAAACACTGAAACCTGAGCTGCTGAAATGTTGAGTGAAATTAACCAGCAGCAGCTGTGAAGTACATATGAAATATGACACAAATGTAAGAAACGGGATTATTTGCTGTCCTAGTGCGTCCAGCAGCAGGGTGTTTCTTCTGGTTCAGAAAAGCCTTTGGGCAGTAACACTGCAAATAAGCTGAACCTGTCAGTGCTGCAAATCTGTTACTTCTGATCATCTCAGACACAAAATGTCCAAACTAACATTTTAACCCCAAATTCACAAAAATAGTTACAGAAATTATTTTGTTACAGCGCTCGACGCCTTCGGCTCTGGACAGCACATGATTGGGGAAATGTTAGTTATTCTATGCAGGAAAAGAATCCCTGAGTATCGCGCTACATGTTTAATTGTTTATATATCAGAGCTGCAGATGAGCACGACAGGCAGATAAGGGACACATCCTGGACATCTGTCTGGACAGGATTTCCCTAGCCGTTTACCACTGGGGCAAACTGGTTTGACCAAAGTCCACAATGTCTTCTGCAGTCACACACTGGCATATTTACAGTGCTCGTCAGTCGTTTACATACAAGTCATCATACCGCGAATAGTGTCGGATCTCATCTGATCCACGCAGGCTCAAATATAAGAGCCTGGGAACCACCGAGGCTCACCCGGGCCACGAACTGGAAACCGTCCACAGTGAAGCAAGTTTCACATCAGCGTGGACTGACAGGGCGCCAACCAAGAAAGACGCCTCGGCTCCAAACTCAACACCTTCAAGCTCAACTGAAATTTTCAGCTCAGATGTCTTCTGGAAAAAAAGAAAACGTCTTATAGACGAGAGAGATGCTTGGACAACCACGTGTGAGGCCGCTGTCCCTTGCACTATGGTAATAGCCTTATTCTGCTACACTGCATAAAGTGGATGGAATCCAAATTTTTCAACTTCAACTCAACTGCTAGACACTGAAATCTGGACAAAGCTGGGTGTCCCAACAGGACGGCGATTCCAAATAAACAGCAAAACGAGTTTTGAAATGGTCAGCGCATGCTACCATTAAGCTTCTGGACTGGCCTTGCCAAGCCCTCGGTCTCACGCAAACTGAAAATTTGAAGACTACGCTTAAAAGCCAAGTCCATGCTAGGAAATCAACTTGTTTAAATTAAGCAATCCAGCAAGAATTGTGCCAGAAGATTGTTCACAAGTCCAAATAATTCTTATTTATATACTTAGCCTGGTGCACAACCGACCAGTGTCTGAAACCAGCCATTTTATCTGCTTTTTCCATCCCTTTAGTCCAGCGGTCTCCAACCTTTTTTGCGCCACGGACCGGTTTATGCCCGACAATATTTTCACGGACCGGCCTTTAAGGTGTCGCGGATAAATACAACAAAATAAAGCTAGTACCGGTACCGAAAAAAACAAGATTTATTCATAACACACGTGAAAAGACCCAGGAAAACAGAGTTAACGATAAAAACGATAACAAAATAACGCTGAAAACGATAAAAACCCTGAAAACCACACATTTCACACCTGAGCCTCAACTCTCGCGGCCCGGTACCAAACGACTCACGGACCGGTACCGGTACGAGGCCCGGGTCCGCTGCTTTAGCTGATTGGATGCCACTTGCAAACAGAAGGATGGAACTGCACGTGGGTAGATATTCTCTGCCAACGACAGCGCTGCATGACAGAACCATGTAAGGTCATATCTTCTCTGAGTGACATCCTTCAGAGTCCAGAGTAGAACAACTGCCGGGTCCACCGTGGTAACTGTACGTGTGCGGCAGAGGATGAGAACAATCTTAAGAGCTACCTTTGAATGGATTTTGTTGAAAGGCCCTTTTTAATTAGAACTTTACAATTAAGGCACATTTCTATTCTGGAAAGGACACCGTAGCTTTGTTTGAGCAGCCATTTCAACTTACATTATTAAAATGCATAAATTTGGAGGATTCAATATCAGTGCCTTTGGAGTGGTAAATAACAAGCAGCAACACGGGACCTCCAGGCAATTATGACAGCTTGAATCTGCATGTTGTGTCTGCTAGAGCTCAGTTTCTAGTGACAACACAGGGAAATGTCACGATGAGGTCACCACTTGGCACTCAGGCGCCTCTCCTTAAAGGCTTGGGCTCACTGGCATTGTTGCAAAGCCAACTTGATGCAGCACATCAGCTGAGAACTAGCAAAGGGGGGGCAACAACTGATTGTCCTAAAGGAAACATGTTTCAGCAGAGGCACAAAAGTACCTCGTCATCCTCATGCAGACTCCCCCAAAAAACATGAACAATGGCCAAATCCAGCCACTTCCAGCCTGCACAACTGCGTTTTTAGCACAGAATAGGTTGGCCAGATGGTGGCTGGTGGGGTAGATGAACTTAGCAGCCACAGGCAAAAGATTTAACATGTGTTTAACTGCCATCCTGTCTGTCTGTGACACAGTCACTCACTGACGGGCCAAACGGCTAGTCTGTCTGTAGAGGGGTTTTTTGTATTTTTAGAAACATAGACAAAAAGATTTCTGCAGATATGACACACAAGCGCTTTCCTTCTAATATGTCGCCTCATTGCCTTTTGTTTTAATCCACATTTCTGCTGTGAGGTCAATGATTTGCTCCTGCACTGCCACCCTTCTCTCAGGGCTGTAAAAGACAGCGCAGTCCAGGCAGCCAGGCATGCTCCGGCAGCTAGCTGGGCCTCTGCCCTACATAACAAAAAAAGGTGAGTCGCTCACATTCCTGCTTCATGCACAAACCAAACCCCAATGTCACACACACACACCTTCTCTTGTTGGTGTGTGTGGTCTTCCTGCTGTTCTCCCTTTCTCTAACCTTAGGGAGTCTTAAAGTTACAAAACAGCCAGAAAAAGGCAGAACCCCCCCCTCTGTAGAAACTAATCAAAGCATGGGCATGTGCAAGTGATTTCTGTCTGATGGGACAACTCTACCCTTCACGTGCATACAAACCCAAGCAAACTGACATGCAAAGTAGCCGTGATGACAGGAAAGCCATCTACTTCACATTAAGTGCATTCCCACTGGAATACATGGCGGCCTGCAGGGGAGAGAACATCTTTATTGGACCCGTCCCGGAAGCAATTCAAATCCGAACAGGCCTGCTCACCAGCCGATACATCCTCTTTTATCATTGTCAGCTTGGTATTTTACAGCATCTCTGTTTTTGGTAATAAACTGGCACCTTCTGTTTTAATGTCTAACCCTCCAACATGCTTTTGTTTTTTTCCAAAACACATAAAACATTTAACTACAGGAGAGTAGAGTGGCCTTGCTTGGCCCCTTCTCTCTTTAGTTTTTAGTGCGAGCCAGTGTGTTAAGAGGAGGCCAAAGTGAGCCCTGCTGCTTCTATAAAAGGAATGTGATGGGAGAAAGGGAGGGCCACTGCGCCAACAGTATTATTAGCTTGATCATCTTACCAAAGAAAGAAAGGGAAAATGGAGTAAATAAGAAGAATACATACCCCATTCCAAAAACTCCAGGACGTTTTTCTCCCTTCTGAGGGGGGAGTTGTTGCACTCATCATAGAGGCACACCAGGATATCCAGCAGCGTCTCCACACTCAGGCACTGGCCATTAGACTGAGCCGGCCCGTCCAGGATCAGCTTCTCCAGCTTCTTCAAACGCACCTCTCCCGACATGTTCTATTCCTTACTGTTGGCCTTTTGAAGCAATGGTGATGGATGGGGTTGGACGAGCAAACACCTCCTCGGCCTGGAAGTCAGCGCAGAGGGGGGCCTTGAAAAGTTCTCGCCACTGCACGTCTCGAAAAATAATCAAACTTTTGCGCGTTGAGGCCAAGCCGGTGCTAAATAAGCGATAAAATGCGCCTAATCATGACCTTCCTCTCGAGAGCCAGTATCTTGAAGCTGGGTGAGACGTGCAGCACTTCCCCATTTTTTAATACCTATCCCCCCAACCCCTCAAAGGGTGCATAAGAAAAGAAGTAAGCCTGTAACAGACCCTGGCTGCTCCGGGCCGGCTGATTTTGTTGGAATCGCAGCGTTAGCAGGCAGTTTTCTGCTCTCCTCTGGCGTTAAGAGAATATATATATATATTTAAAATAACCTAGTCGAAGCCGTTCAGAACATCTCCCTGAGTTGAGACAGATATTTGGGATTCTCCATTCTTGCAGCAATCCAAAAAATGCAAACCAGATCTGCAATGCTACAAAGCCCCAGCGCCCCTCCTCTGCTCCAGGAATGGAAGGGCGACAGCAGCTTAGCAGCCTGCTAGGTTAGCTGTTCAGCTAACCAGGGAGCTAACGTTAACGCTACTTTTCTCCGTTCCTTGATGCCACAACTTCCCCCTTTTCCCGGGAGTTGACATGTAACACGCAGCGTTAACACGTCTCAACCAAATGCCGTCTGTCTCTGACAATGTGTATATATATATATATATATATATTTTTTTTTTATCTAACTGCAAAATATCCCCTTGTTTTCACAACTCACTGCTGGGAGATATGTTCTTTAAATCCCAATCTTCGTCAACGTCTCTTTAGTTTCTTCACAGTTCAAACGCGATGGTTAGCCAAGAGTTCCAACCAGCCTGTAAGTTAGCCGTCAAAGGAGAAAAATGCGGCTCCTTTTTTTCTCTTATGAAGGTTGCAGAAAAGCTCGTTTCACGTCAGGGGGAAGCTGTATTCTCTAGCCTCGCTTATTCCAAATACGGGACACTGCCTAAATTCCCCCCCGTCCTTCCCTTTGCACCGCCGGTCGTTCGCTGCTTTGCCGTCTTTCCCCAGTCAGCTACCAGCGGCTCGATGCCAGAGGCTTTAAACTGAAAAGATAACCCACTATACACTGCTCTGGTGCGCTGCAGCACCGCGCTGCATTGTGGGAAAAGTGGCTCTGCTGGAAATTATGAATGGCTTACAAATAGCTCTCGTCAGAAACGTAATTATGAGTTATTGATAAATACGTACCTTCTTTTTTAACCATAGAAGATCCTTCTAGAAGTAAGTCTCTCCAGTATGCGACCAATCATCCGGACTAATGTTTCTGGGCTGTTATTTGGGGAATTATTTTTGAAATTTTATTAAATTACTTTAAGTAAAAAGTAAAATTATTAATTATCACGTTTTTAGTTAGGTTGTTGTTTTTTTCTTTGGACGTTATACTTCTACCACCGTGTTTGCTGTTGTGGATATCTCGCGGATATTTCAGTCTCGTCTTACCAGTTTGATTTGAACACGGTGTCTCTGAACACGTTTCGACGCTGTCCAAAAAAAAGGTTATCAGTCTGTGATGTTAGGTAACGCGTTTACAGTTTCCAACTTCCACGCATGCTCGTTAATCCGCCATGTTTCCCGTGTCTCGAGACGTCCTCTATAGCTCGCGGCCTATCTACCACTGTTCTAACGTCTCTGGTCGCTGCTGCAGGCAAAATCCCAGATCATCATCATGGCGCCCGTCACAGCATCTGCTGTGCGAATGGGAGAGGCGGGGGGGGTGTTGATGGGAGGGGGTGTTGTCAATATTGTGAATGGGAACTGCGGGCTGTGTGCTGGTGGCGTCTTTTTCTTCACGCGGGAGTAACAATGACTGCTGTCCCTGTAACCGACCGCAAACACAGCACTTAAACGAGATACAGTCCAGCCTGCGTCAGTGCAACTGTGTCGAGTCCAGCTAGCTGTGACAGTGAGCCACCTCACACAGCCACATGCATCAAATATGACAGTCAGATTCCCCACAAACCATTATGCAATCTACCAAATGTGTCTCGCTTTTGCATTCACAGTCACACCTTAAATGTCTGACACAAAAAGGGTCTGTGTGGCACGCTCTCGCTCCCTATTTGCATAGAAACAGTGCATGGGGTTTCATGTAGTTCAGAGTCTGAACTGATCATTCCTTGTTTGGAAATGATCCCTTTAGTGCTTATCACTGCTCAAAGTGCACCCAGTAATCAATAACGGCCTAAGCAGCTGAATGTTTGGGGGAAGGGAGACGGAGAGAGAAGGAGAAGGTGTTTGAGGCCACACACCCCAACAAAGGGGAACATAAAACTTCCATACTTAAGAAAATAAATAGTTCAGGGCCCCCTGACTGTAGAAGAAAGACACGAGATGTGATGAAGTAAGCGCACAACAACGTGCCATATAAGACGCAGTCACCTGATTAAAGGGAAATCAACTCTGATGTCATATAGTAGTGGTACAATAGCTATATCAAGCTATATAGTTTATGTCTTCCATATTTCCAGCCATATCCATAATCACATACTGTGTGTGCTACCATTGTATGTAGTGTGTTATCTTACTTTTTTCACTGATTGTACTTATTTGTATTTTTGTATTTCCTTCTGATATCTGTACCTGAGCTGAGGTGACGCAAAAATGTCCCCGTTGTGGGATCAATAAAGTCTTATCTTATATTCTTGTACACAACACTTAAAAGTGCCCTCTTTTCACTATTTTTCCAAACTATTTTCATTGTTTGAAAGCACGATGTCAATAAAGATTCTGATTCTGAAGCAGTGCAGTTACGTCTGAGTGCTTTTGTTATTAGACACAATTCCTCGCACAAGTGTTGTTGCTATATTTCCAACACACTTGCTGTGTTTGCTTCTGTTTGTCAGCCTGCACTGAGACTGCTGTGCTTTGATTGAGTTTTCATTGTTGATTGTTTGGAGATGTTCATCACCCTTGTTGGATTGAACAGTTAACCGAGCCCATCAGAGAGCCAATCATCAGTGTTACTCTGCACAGCTCTGCACTCTTGGCCCAGTTTGGCTGTGAAAGGGAGGAGTACACACAACCTTCACTTCCAGCAGGCGTGATGGTTGCTGGAAACGGGTCTCGTGTGTCCGCGTGGATATTACATTCAAATGTGGATCATGTGATCAGGACATTTCACGTTGAACGCGTCCGTTTGCCATTTTATCGATGCATGTTCAATCTTCACAAGTAAGCACATTTTATCAGTAAAGTTCAAAAACACACAGCACCAAATGCTTCAGGACAGCGAGCAGCTCGACCATGAAAATGAAACGATGTGTGGTGAGAAAGCAGAAATCATGTGACGTCTGCTGAGATAATCCTGTCACAGGTCGCTCTGAGCGCTTCGCAATCTTTTTGCCAAACCCAGTGAAACCGAGCGCCTTCGGTCTCGGTGCGTTCACTGCATATACTGAGGTGTATTTGTATTACAACACTTTAACGTGGAAGGATTGTTATTATTTCTCTTTCCAAAATTGTCACTTCCTGCACTGGTAGTTTAGAAGTATGTGATGAACAGGATCTAATCAGTCTGATACGACACTCAGTCCTCATTAATATCGTGTTTGGTAGGTGAATTATGTTCATGTAAAGCGTCTATAGTTAGTTTTAAATGCTTTTAAATGCTTCTGTCCTTCAGCAGACTTGATCACATCAGAGTTTGTGTGACATGGGTCTTGAAAGTTCGTAGAAATGTGAAATCCTTCCTGGTCGACACTCGGACTCTTTTTGTCCTCGCATCAATCTGGTGTCATTTTGTCGTGAAAGAATGAATATCATGTAAAACAGCAGTGATGGTTGCTCACGGCGTACAGTGCTTTACACATCTATTAGAACACCAGCCCATGTAAGGTTTATGCAACACTTACTTGAAATCAGTGGTGCTAAACATAGGGCCCGGGGCCAGAATCTGCCCGCCAAAGCCTCCAATCCGACTGCAGGGACGACTTTGACTGCGAGGATGGATTTTTGGACTTTAAACTGTGTATTTATAACTTTTATATGACGTTTTCTGCTGACTAAGATTCCTGCATGGCCATTCATGCTACACCAAAGTATTTAAGTAATGCATAAACAAATAAATGGCAGACAACTTCCTGTTTTCCGCTGTGTACTGTGGACACTTTGGGGGGGAAAGAACATTTTCTGTGAATGAACAAAAACTGTGTTATATAAATATGATCGTTTTCAGTGATTTTACACATCTTTCATGTAGAAAAACGGACGTGTGCTGTTGAAATTCTTTATGTTCTATGCACATATCTCTGGGATTAAATGTGGTTAAATGTCACAGAAAGGCTAGTTTGACTCCTCCAGCCCACTTCAGATCACTGTGGGTTACCTGTGGCCCTTGATGTAAAACGAGTCAGCATCTCTGCTCTAAAGTGTCACAGTGACCAAAGTCATTCCTGATATTTCTGTAATGGTTAATCGACCAGTGTGCGCAAGCTGTTAAATCAAAATGCTGCTTTTAATGCCAAACTACAATTATTGCTGTTATCCATGAATTTTCACATTTACTTTTAATAAAATAAAATAAATAAGGTCATTTTAAACAAGTGCTTGACAGATTTCTGAGATATTTTTCTTGTTTTTTGACAAGGAGGTTAATAAATTTAAGCACTGCAAGTATCCTGTTAAAAGTCACGTACAATGAACAATTCAGTTCAACTGTTATGTTCACAAGTGGTCTAATTAGAATAGGACAAAGCAATAAGGGCAATAAAGAGATCTAAGTGTACATTTATTCATATATTTATTTCCTCGATGATGCTATCAATCCAAGTGTCGATGTTGCCTTCCTGCTATCTATTTAACGTCGTCATGATTATCGGATCTTTTGAACGTAGCACAGCGCAAATGGGGGTTTCGGGGTGGAAGTTTCCTTTAAAGCCTCTACGCGCTTGCGCACGGCGTCCTCTGCTGTACAAACCGTTTCAGCACAGCTACTGAAAGCCACGAGCCTTTTTGTAAGTTGCACAACAGAGCTGTTGGATTTCTTGCGTGAGATTTTCCCTCATCGGGTTGTAGATTTTGAAATATTTCCTAGGAGCCACGATGGTTCAGTCCATCACAACTGTCGATGAATTAAAAGCCAATGAAAATATGTACTGATAGTCCTAATTAAACGTGTCTGATCCCATTTGTCTGCAGCGGGGTCAACGCGCATGTCTGCGCTGACTGATCCGTCATTCGCTGTGCGAAATGCAATTAAACCGTCCTGCGGTTGGTCGACATCGCGGAGGGCAGTAACAGTATTGCCCTGCACGGGTCTAGCGCTTCGTCTTTGTCACGCACTGATCGATGATTATTGGCAGCCAGCTTTAGATCCAGACGCGTCTGCGGGAGCTGAAAGAGAAGAGCTGGTGTGGACCATTAATGTGCAAACTAGTGCGGTTCATTTCTCCAAATATTTGGCGTGGAGATAAGGCGGCCAGTAGCAGTGATTGACAATGCTCGAGCGCATCATAATGGGGCTTTTGCCGTGACCACCAACACAAGTTCAATATTGACTTTTTGGAGCATGCAGCAGCTCCGCCTTGTTCCCAGGGAGACGCGTAATAATGAGATGCTACAACATAATGCGCAAACCAAACTGCGCCTCTGCCCTCTTCCTGTATACGCATTCAAAGCAGAAACAGGGAGGTCTGATGCTGCGCAAATGGAACCGATTGACCTATAAATTGGACTGCTTTTGAATGCAAATGGGCGGATACTAATTAACACCTGCGTTGTGGATTGAAGGAGCTCGTTGGGCCTTTGATTGAAAAGAAATGGCACCTATGAGTGTATGAGATGCGGCTTTGAACTAGGCAGCTCGTCTCTGAACGTCATGGGAAGGAAGGAGGACTGAGAAATATCACACAAAGGCCATCTTAATTTCCCAAATTAGGGGTTGTAATGTGAGGCAGAGCGGACAGCAGAGTATTTTAGGCTGTGGAGAGCAGGCACTTAGACTGGCATCTGGCTGGACTGGACAAGATTTGCTTGGAATTTACATGTCTGCTGACCACAGACAGTCTACAGGTTTGGAC